TGTGGATTCTGTATGTTTAGTGCAATTCTTTAGTGCTCCTCTGATGCTCAAGTTGTATCACGGCTTCTTGGCCGGATGCTGTGGCCTGGGACAGAACAAGGGAAGAATAATCTCCTGAGAGGCATGGAAAAAAGAGTGAACTTTGGGGAGAAATGATTGTGGAGTTCCCAGCACCACTTCGGCATTGTGGAACATGCATGGAGGACGTTGCCACCCCTGACACTCGCTTTGCAAATGTAATGGTGACCAGAAAACAAGTTTGGTTGGAGGGACAGAATGCCGATATTGAAGTCAGAGGTTCAAAAGGGTGAATTGTTAAGGCTTTCAACACCAGTGATTAAGTGAGATATACCCAGATCATCCTGGCAAGTGACATACACCCATACATACACTGCAGGGAAAGATGAAAAACAAGCTCATTGCCAATCTGATGTGCAGGGAAATGCCTTCCCAACCCCCATAGAGTGATCTGTTAGATCCTCAGCATGTGAGCAAGAACCAGCCAGACAAGAGCCTGAGAAAGAATGCTTACCTCAGAGCCCCTCTCAGACACTGTCTCATCTCCAGCCATAGCCATCCCTAAAGCTTCAGAAGGAGGGGACAAACAGAATTAAATGGAGCAGGGAATCCCTTCCTGACTCCTGCAGGTGGCCAGCTGAAGCTCTGAAGCATGAGCTTTTAGGACCATAAGACAAACCAGAAGTGAGCTTGCAGGGTTGCTGAGCTCTGTCTGCCCTCTACTATCACAGGCAACCTAGTCATACAAGCAAACTCACACATTTGTCCTGCTCTCTCTCAAAACTAAATTACGTATTTTGCCCCCACAACACCTACTGGGAGACTGTTCAAGAACTTCACCTCTGAAGATTAGAAAATTATTCATGGCCAGTTTATATCCATTTATTCTTCATCCTTCCTGGTATTTACCCTCCCTAATGTATTAACAGAGAACAATCATATCTCCTTGCAGACTTCTTTTTGCTAGCCTAAACAAGCCAGTCTCTTTCAATGTCCTTTCCTAAGACAGGCCCAAAAAATTGTCAGGACACTCTCCCATATGGTTCAAGACATTCCCCCATCCCCATCTAGCCATAAGGAAAGGGGAAAGTGTCTGCAACTCCTCAGATTGGAAACAAATGTGCTACAGGAACATTTTTATTATAACAATTACATTGATGTGAAAATTACTGAAATGATCGTAACTATGTACACTATGGATAAACATACTGGACAAAGCCTTGCATGAGAATACAGCTCTGTCAGTGAACAGTAGACACTTGAGGTGAAAAAATTCAAAAGAAAACCTTCTCAAAAATAAAAGGGGTCAGATCATTGCCATCTCAGAAAAGAGAAAAGGACAGTTAGGATAACATTTTCTTTGGATTCAGAGTAACAGCCGTGTTAGTCTGTATTCGCAAAAAGAAAAGGAGTACTTGTGGCACCTTAGAGACTAACCAATTTATTTGAGCATGAGCTTTCGTGAGCTACAGCTTTTTCTTTGGAGATGCAAGTCTCTACATCCTTTATTTTTGGGAAGCAACCAGTTGTGGTTAATGAACAGAGAGCAAAAAAGAGATTGTGTCTAGCAGAATAGGGAAGGGGGACACAGGTTATCTGCACATTACTGAGTCCTGGACATTGAGTATGTAGTGTTTTAAGAATGTTGGGCCTTGAAGGTCTTCGAGACTATTCAGTCCAGGATATCATAACTGATCTGGAAGAGTACATGCTGTGTCAGAAGGTCCCTTAGCCTTGTACATCTCCCTGACACAATTACATATCCATTTGGAAATAGAACCCTAGTGAATTCTTTCCTCTGTTTCAGCTGGAAGCTTATCAATAAGTCAGTAGTTTTTCCAAATTGTTCAGTTTTGTTGAAGTACAGTACATCTCCAGTGTCTGGCCAATGCCCAAAGTATGCCATTTGTGTTTCTTCTTGGAGTTTGGGTTTGAGTAAAAGGTAGAAGTCTTATAACATGTGAAATAACTGCTCCAGGTAGTTAATTTTTCCATGTTTCCCAGTACTATTTTACCTTAATGGAAAATAAAATATTCAAGTTAAATGGATAAAGACCCTGTCTTTAAAACCCTTGTAGCTCAAGTGAGGACCACTAACATGGCCACCTTGATATTTCAGAAATAAAGAGATACCATCTTTAGGAGCTCATATATATTACAGGCAAGTGCCCAAAACACACTGATGTGACTCCACAGCCAAATATTTCATGACCTGAGCAGGGGATGAATTCTTCAACTTAAAGAAGCAGATCCCACGACTATGATATGCTAAGCACTCTTCCATCTCAGAGCAGAGGACTGACCAAAATGCAGAAATGTGGACTTTTAAAGTAGTGCTGCCAGGCCTAGGGAAAAAACAGTTTGAAGAAACTGTAAACCTACTGGTATTTGAACCCTAATCTCAACTGTAGCCTTAATAACTATAATGAGAAATAAGCAGCTGGAGCTCCTGTTATTAAGTTATTACTGTGAAAGATTATAGTCCACAAGGGCTAAGCCAATGTGTTGCTCCTCTTCAGTTTTATATTTTGCTTTTCACTTTTGTAAAGAGATTATAGAAGTTCCATCCTTCATTTTTGTATTACAATGTAAAACAAAAATATTGAAATATTTGTGCTTGTCAGAGGATGATACTGAGGTTGAAAAACCTATTTGCGATAGTAAGGTACATTTAAGCCACACACTTTATTGCCTTGACTTCTGAATGGTTAAGAAAGAACAGATGGAAGCAACTCTAATGGCCTAACATAACTTACTGAATAATAATGTACTTTGTGTAAGCAACTGCAATGCCGGCTCTGCAAAAATTCTGATTCAAGATGTGATACAAATTCAAATTATTTTAAAATCTTTTGCAAAACTCAACAGGAGATTTGAGCATTTGCTGAAGAAGGAAAGTTTAAAATAGCCCGATGTCCTTAATCTAAGGTGGCATATTTGACAATGAAATAACTATCAGGCTAGAGTAAGAGAAGCTACAAGGGAACATCTGGAAATTATTTTTGCCAAGCAAAATTGCTACAGAATACAAATCTATTCTTTGTGAAAAAATGTAACAGAAAACACAGGGACTCATTCACACACTATTACCCAAGATCTGCTCACTTACAAGATTTGAACAGCAACTGTAACGTGACATGCCAGATGGAAAAAGCAATCAAAAGTGACCACAGCCTGTCTTGCATTAGTGCAAAGTTTCCTGACCCTCTCAAGGAAACTTTACTCCCTTCACTATTCTTCTTCAGTAGCAAGAGCTTGCTCATAGTCCTGCAGACTGGCCCTTGATAATACTCTGTTATGGAAATAAAACGCTTACAGAGCCGAAAGAGTGGAGATGGGGTAGGAGGATGTCCTGGCACAAGATAAAATAATTTTACTGGCACATTTCTTACAGCAGCTTTAGGATCAAAATGGTACTGAAACAAAAATTAAAAGATCACCTTGATATCAAAACCAGAGCAAAAATCAGAAGGTTCAACACGTACAGGTGGGGAGGAAGGCACTGCCTCCCACAAGGAGCTGTTTTCATTCACTGCAATAAACTGTTCCTCAAAACAAACACACCTCTCAACCTTCAACAGTTCCAGGTGTTTGGAGCAGCAGTTGCAGGCAGGACTCCCAGCCCCACAGATTTGGCAGAACAGCAGGCTGAGCGGAAGAGACTTGGGTCTTCTGTACTGGAGACCTCAGGCTCTACTCCTAGCTCTGCTTGAAATGAATTTGTGCAACTTCTGCATTACCATATTTGTAAAATGTGCTAGAATGACACTTTGTTACCTTGTAGGGAAGGTCACGAGGTCTTACTCATTATGTAGGACAGGAAGTACATAGACATATACGCAGCAGGTATGCGAGGACTTTGAAACTAAAAGCCACGATTGGGGTGGGAAAAAAAATTCACATAGCAGAGGAAAATAAGGGTGATACCCAATTGGATCCAGTACACACACCAATGTTGTCCCCTTTCCATTTTTACTGTTGAGGCACATACTCCAACAATAAAATATTTTAATCAAGTAAACCACCATTCTCTCTCTTAGAAGTACACACTTTTCACTCACCACTCATACGAGTGCTCTTTGAAGGGAAAAATTTTGGGTTTTGTAACCATAAACGTTATTGGGACTGTAACAATATCAGTCATGAAAACCATGATTACAGAGATGTCAGGTTAAGCAATACTTTTCATCTATGGAGAGTTAAAATCTATCTTGGGTCACCAGGGGAAAGGAGATAGGTGTAGTCTCATCTGGTCACATCACAAAACCATTCAGAACAATTAGTCTCTGCTTGAGGAAATCCAACAACAAAAGAGTAAGGATGTTTCAAGTAAGGATTGAAGTGCACTGGCAAAGCCAAGTGGAGAATTTTAACACATCCCTTTTCTGCACTGTGGTTAGATCAAACCAACACCACTAATCCCTCACTTTTATGGGCACTAAATGCAATACAAAGTGTAGAAAGAAATCAATTAATATACAAACAGTTTATTACACACACATTCTTGTCAGTTGGTTAGGATAATCGGTGCAACTCATTTCTAGTTTCACTAACTCACAAGTTGTAATACTGCCAATCTTGTATGATGAACATAAGACCTTCATAATACACCTTTTCCAGAAAACCTGTTTTAGGAAGATCTAAGGCATTTTAAAATATTACATTTAAAGATTCTGTATTTTAGACCGCAAATTCTTAGGGGCAGGGACTGTCACTTATTATGTGTATACATAATGACTAGCACAATGAGATCCCAACATATTTGAGGTCTTTAGGAGCTAACAATATACATGTTTATTAATGAATAATAATACAGTATTGCATTAAAAGAAGCCAAACCTGAATTACAATATAACAACAGATAATAATAACAACAACAACAGAGGTGTGATTTTCTTAATAAAGTTTTTTTTTGTAGTGTTACCCTTAACACTACACCTTTTTCTCAAGGAGCCAGGAAAGCATAATCCCAAAACACTCACCAGGTCACTTTTAGGTGCATCCTGATAATCTGTTGTGAAGCAGGACATTGAACCTCTTGAGCCATTGCCCTCACTGGCTTGCTTTGGAGGCTGTGCATGTTGCCTGTATGTTGCACTCTTAGGGGTCCAGCAAAAAAGGTTGACTGATTCACGGACACAACGTTCAATGTCAATTTCTGACCAAGGATTGAAGAACAAGCAAAAACCCAGATGTGAAAGTTAGTAAAATCAGAAAGTTAGACCAGTGAAACAACTGCTGAAAACACATCTTCAATTTTTAGTAACTATTTAGTTAATTTTTATTCAAAAGACATCCAAGAGACTTTACAGACAAATTATATAGGGATTAATTTTATCCACCTCTGAAATGCTGCCACCTCAGGAATGTAAAGTGGCAGCAAAGTTACATTTATACAACTGTTTAAGACAGGAAGTGAAAAAGTACCATAACCAATTGAAGCTATAGGGATATTTTAATAGATTAATAGAATTACTTATATAGTAAAGATACTTCAGTAAAATTTGTTGGCATACTGTAAACCAAAATGCTCATAAATGTAGATGTACAATGGAAAGCAAGTCAAGTAACATCTATTTACATGATGCATGAACTTTCAGCTGATCCAAAAATCAATGCCCTCTTTGTCATGGTTACAGTTGTTAAAAGCTATTACTTCCCAGATTAAAAGAGTCCAGTGAAACTTGACTTTGAACTTGAATTTGAACTTTGTGTTGCCTGCTATTTTTGACAAAATTATATGCTGTCTACTGGAAAACAGGAAATCTCAACATTATTTCGTGCTTGATGGCACACAAAATGGATTTGTCTTAGTCTTACTTTGAATTCAATCCAAAAATGGCTGCAGCTCACAGGGCAGCATACTGGTTGAAGTACATGACACAACATGACTGAACTTGGGAATGTTTTAAAATATAAAATAAGCTATCACCAGTTGCAAATTATCAAAGCAGAATGAAGAAATGTGTAACCAAAAGTGATCCTATGACAAACATCATTTCAGAAGTGATAACATCAGGGCTATGTATGTTTTGAAAGCAAGGGTGTTGCAGTTCTGACCAAAGCAGTTAATAAGAGTATATGGTTTCTTGAGCACAGCAAAAGGACCAGTTGATTTGTTTCACCAGACCTTCAGTCTCATAAACGGGACAAATTAACAAGTGTGTAGAATTACCATAACCTTCATCTTATAACAGTGCACAAGACATGACATAAGTACGACCGGCACTGGATGTATCAGTTCTAGATATCTCTGGGATGGACAACAATTCATTATGACACTACCAAGTTTAGGCTGGAACTTAAGGTAGAATATTTTAGTTAGACAGGACTACTTACTCCAATTTTTTTTTTTGATGTTTAAAGAGAAAGACTTGGACTATTTAGGAAGCCATCCTTATTCAGGAAAAGTACTTAACTTTTAAGCACACGCTTAAGTCCCCTTAAAGTCACTGTGTTAAAATGCTTTCTTGACTGAGGGACTTAACGAGTACAGGCTGGGAGCTAAGAATTCCTGGGTTCTAATGCCAGCTCTAACAAGCATCCTGCTGTGGCCATGGATAAAATCACAGCCTCCGTTCTTCCAACTCAAGGGTTTTCATGCAGGATCATTCTTCTCAGGGGTATTGTATGTCAAGTTCTTTGACAACAAAATGTGCTCTTTTATATAATGTATTACTAGTCAATTTAATTACTAATTTTTCATTTTACAGGTGACTTGGTAAAAAGTTTCTGTTTAGTAATATCTTCCAGGAAAATCTGAGAAAGTGGCAAAACTAATGCAGGCTTTCTGATTTAAGCAAAGTTTGCAAAACTTCACCAATTCTATGGCTCAGAATACAGGTTCCAAGTCATTGATATTACACAGATTTTGCTCACATTTTAAAAGGCTCAGTTTATTTGTATGGAGATGAGAACTTCAACTAAATTCTCTGACATGTTTACAACCTCTTATTTTTCCGTAGGGAGACAGTTCCAGCCTGATTCTATCATGAATTATATCCCCTACACCTGGGATTCTTGGCATGTTTTACACGACTGTTAGGAAAACTTCAGCAATACTTGTGTGTGAAGGGAGATAAAAGTAGGATGCCTTAGCAAGTGTAAAAAGGCATCTGAGCACCTCCACCTCCAACAGTGCCCAAGTAAACAGAGAGAATTGTGGGAGGACATAAGAGTCTACATATACCCCTAAGCTGTTAAAACAAAAAAGTCAAGGAAGGAGAGGAATTTTAAACCGGCATGAAAATATTTGACATTTGGGCTTAGATTTTCAAAAGTGACAAGTGATTTTGGTTGCCTACATATTTGGTGTACACCTGGAGACATCTTAAGGGAGCCTGCTAAACACATACTCTCTGAAAACTGAGCCCCTACAAGAAGTCTCAAAAGATGGGCATCTAAAAATTGAGGCACTCAAAAAAATCACAAGTCACTTTTGGAAATCTTGGCCCGTAGCAATGGCCCTCTCCTCCCTAAATTTTAATTTTTTACAATAAACCAACAACCTTCTAGTAAAAAGGAATTGACTGCCCTTTAATGTAGAGTAGCCACTACTCTACATTAAAAACTTTTTTGTCTCCTAAATTTACTAGAGTTTTACATTTATGAAAATAATTTGGTCAGTAAAAGAGAGAGACCTTTTTGTGTGCTGCTAACATTATATGTCAAATGTCATTCCCACTTCCAAATATAAATGATCTAACACACACAACAGGCATTTTGCTACACTTTCAAAAAATACTAAGCCCACAAAAATATTTCACTTATTTTCCTAAACCTTATTTTCCTATTTTGTTCCCCTTTTGAACCTTATATACTGAATTCTCCTCTCCAGACATAACTACTGCCTCCTTCTTCTGTTAACACAATCAATCTGAAGTGAGAAGGATGCCTCAGTGTGACGACTGGCTAATATGGACACGGCTAGTTTTTATGAATATGTCTAATGAATATTATCACAGAAAGAGGCGAGCACATTTAGGGCATTCTGTCATAAAAAAGATGGATGGCTTTTCTTCTGTATCAGGATGTAAGAACTTTCTTCCACAAATCAAAACATTTGTCGTCCTATTTTTGGGGCAAAATTAAAATATAACCTCAAGCTTTCTCCCCTAGCGGCTCCTCTTTAGGCTGGAAAGTTGCTAAAGGCTATTGTGTACCATTAAATATACCCAGTTAATAAATTTATTTCCTGAAGGTTTGATGAGCTGGATAAACTAATCTTTTAAGTAAACACGGGCAAATTAGCTGCTATATTTTCTAACAAAACCAATCATTAATCTCTCTAGGTTGATAAAGTCTGGAAGGCATGGATGACATGCATTGCTGCTCTAACTCAAAACCGTGTCATTAATATAACTCCATCCAATAAGCCATATATTCTATTCACAAACTGAAGTCTTAAAAGCTTGTGAAAAATAACTGATATCAGTAATGCAACATGAACTTTATGGAATATCTGAGATTCAGTACAATACAGCAACCTTTGTAAATCTCCAACTGTCTGCATTTTGAGTGGATGTCAAAAAACACAAAGCACCAACTTAAGGGAATATGCCTGGGTCAACTGCATATGGAAGATTTTTTTGTTTTTTGTTTTGGTTTTAACTGTTCACAGAAAAAGCGTGCTGAACAAATGATTACTCAAGCAAATCCTGTCATAAATGGTATTTATTTAGTGAAGAATTATACTGAATAGGTCTTTGTGCACAATTTAATCCATCTCAGAAACCTTTTCCTTTGGGTTGAGGACACATGTCAAGAAGAAATGTGGACAAGATAAATTGCATCTACTTATTTTGGAGAAAAGCTAAGGTTAAGATTGTGGTTTGACCTCTCTCTCACAAGCATTCTACTACTGTCCTGCCACCCCTCCCCCCGCACACCCAAAACACCTTATACTTATGTGCCCAAGGACACCACTATGCTGCAAGCAAAGGAGTTGAACAGGTCAGACAGCTTGATCTTGTGACCTTTCCATAGAGAGGACAGCATAGAGATAAACGATTACAAGCTACCTACGTATGCCATACAAAAATACTAAGGTAACATAATGAAAGGGACACAATCAATTTAAAACAAAAATCACATTTCGATCTGATATTTCTTTACTTATTATTATTGTTACTAATACTTGAGGACTGTAACTGAAAGGCCAGAGAAAAACAATGTCCTCTTTTTTTAAGCTTACTTTCTGCATTTGTGAACATTTTGTGTAGTTGTCTGTCTCCACTGCTTTGTTAATGGTCATTTGCTCTTCCTCTCTCATGGACTGGCATGATGACATAAGTCTCATGCACCATGGACGAAAGCTGTCACCAGACTTACTCCTTTTTTTGTTCATTTTTTAAATCTCTCACTCTGGCTGGTAGGTGGGGAAGGGATCTGAGCCTAAAGATATATTCAGATTCTTAGCTGCATACAGAATGCTTAGTTCTGGATTGCTGTGAGGGAAGAGTAATATTTTTTTCCCCTTAAGGAGCCATCAGTCTTTCTGTCTACAGCATCGGGAGAAGAGGAATTGCTTCTTTTTAAAAAATGTGAACAGGAGATTAGTTTAGCCCAGAAACAACAAAGGAATCAACCATAGGATTGTGCCCCCAAATAAATTATAAATTGTCCAGAAATGAACACAGTTCAAAGGCCGGCTTGTGGCAAAAAAATTTATATCTGGATGTTTCTGGGTACAGACCCTTGGGAAGTGACGGCCCAATGGACTGGGAGCAGTTTCTCGGGGGGGGGGGGAGGGAAGAGGGGTGTCCCTTTGGATTTAACTGGTGGGTGTTAGAAAAGAGTTAATAAAGGTAGGCTAAATCTTCATATTTAAATATTCTCACTGACTTTTGAGAGTCTGCAGGCTCCACAAGTGAATCTCAGAAACTACCCTCCTTCTTGGAACAGAATGGAGAAAAAAAAATCCAGAATGTCTGTTCTTGTGTGTGGAAATCTGTAAATTCTAAATATTAGATGAGGCTTACTTCAGCTACTAGCCATCAGAACATTCTACTTCCCTCTAACTCTACTCTGCACAGAGGCACACATGGGGAGTGTGGTTTCAAAGCTCATCATGCCTATCACAAAGTTTATGCCAGCCAGACATCAGGTCTCTAGCCGGAGACAAGTAGGGTCTGCTGTACCACTGGTATAGGTCACCTG